TTTTTAATATTATTTACATTATGGTACATATTAGAAATTGTTTTGGTCATTAATACTCACTTTTATATTTTCCCATCTTTTTCGAAAAATTTTAAAAATATCCCTAGGCACAAATCGATTATTTAAAATCCTTTTTTTCATTAATTTTCAACTTCATTGGAATGTGTTTTGTTTTAATCATTCTTTCTATGTTTTTCATATTGTTAGAGATTTTTTGTATCTTTTTTATTTTTTTCAACAATTTTTTGACCGCCCCGCACTTGTCTAGTTAGAACGGTTGAATAAGATGGTTTACTGGTTAGGCCAGTTAAACCGCTTCCGGCAGCATGTCTGGTTAACCGCTCCGGTTCGATTTTGTGAATACTGATGGGGGCTTATTTCATTTAGAGTTACAATACCTAATGCAGCTTGATACCCTCCATCATTTATATTCACAAAATTTACAGAAATCACTATATCTCTAAGCTTTAAAGGGACATTTAAAGCAAATTCTGTTACCTTTCTTTGCCCATTCACAGTTTTAACAAACTCGCATTGAGGATATTTTACCCAAATTTTCCACATTCATTTGGTGCAAAATTAATATTAGTTCCAATATCAAAAAATAATTCAACCTTTTTCCATTCTTGATATCCATTTACAGTAATTTTGGTTGGAACTAATAAAACATTTTGAGCATGAGATAATTTATTTATTTGATAAACATGTTCTTTTGGAAAAGTACTTTCAGCAGATTTATTAAATAAATGACATGAATTTTCCTTGTAATATGAAACATTACTTTATTTATTTAATTTCAATTCCTCATAAAAAAATAGTGCTGATTCACCTTCAGAGTAAGAGGGAGAAGAGGAACTCATACTTTCATCAATTACTTGAAAAGAGTAAGAAGAGTCAACACATTTCTCTTTTTCTATGGCATGTTATGTCTGTATCATCTTTATCTCCATAAAAGTTTATGGGCTTGACTCTTTGTCTTTTTTTTCTTCATAATCATAAAAACTAAGGGCTCATTCCCGTTAACTTATAACTGAAGAAGGATTTAAACTTATTGGTTTAAAAACTGATATATACCAATTATTCAATTCAGCTTCTCTTATATATATATATCAGTGTAAATAATCACAGGAAATGCTCAGATTCTACGACTTCTTTTATTGCTAAAGGACAAATAAAATCATATATTTTGCATCTTACTCCATCCTTTGTTTAAATCAACTTGTTTGGTTTCACCGCATACTAGAGCACAATGATAACTAAATGGTATATATTGAAACAAGTGTCCCTCTATATTGAAACAAGTGTCCCTCTAAGTGGTATAAAGTGTATCTTTTGTTTATGATATGATTATGTAATGTTTTTTTATTCTTTCTAAATTTCTTCTCTCCCACACCTTACACCTATGTTATAGTATGGAAAATATATATTTTCTATGATAAGATTAGGTGTCATTGATATATGTGATAGGTGTCATTAGTATCTTTCTATAACTGTCATGACTTATTCTATAATGAAGAATTCTCATAAAAATTTGATACACTATCATGGTATTAGAGCAATAGTTTTTTTTTTTTTAAATAAGATCTACTGTCGATTTGTGAACTTGTGATCTGAGCCCTACTATCGAATCATGTTTTCATCTCAGCCTTGCTCCAATGCATCAAGCCCTACCTTTATTGATGTTTATGCTCTAGTTACGTATCTAGAGAGAGTAGTTGTTGCTCTTCTCCTCAACCTCAGATCTGAGCTTGCCTAGCCTCTTTGCTCAGCCTCCTCGCAGCGTCAGCTCTGAGCTCGCCATAATCTCTTTGCCATGGGTGCTGCTTTACAACCACTGACTCTCTATATTTGCTGCTTTATAGCCACCGACTCTCGGTATTTGCTGCTTTACAATAGCCGATTCTGTATTTGCCTTCAGCAATCTTTGACCTCACCTTCCTTGGCGTCACCTGCCTCTCCCCTCCCTTGATGTCACCTGCCTTCAGCCCTACCTTCCTTGACGTCACTTGCCTCTCTCTCTCTCTCTAAAATTGTGCTTCGGATAAATTAACATAATCCGTCAAATCCTTCTATTAAACATTCTTTTCCATAAACCGTCAAATCCTCCTCCTTCTCTTTCTTGAAACTTCTATTGAAACCCTACTTCCTTGATACGAAAAGCCACAGGCCATCCCAAAGAATTTGTTGTGATCTACTGTTTTTTGAGTATGTCTTGTGTTAGATAAAAGCTTTACATCTAAAGCTTCGATTAGTACTTTCTCGAACCAACTCGTAAATCTCT